AAACCGTAGAACGTACACACGGACGCACGCGCAACAAACTAGTTACATTTTCGATTGAGAAGTAATAAAAATGAGTTTTTCAGTCGCTTCGCAAATTTGTTGACAATTTTTTGTAAAGTAATATACTTAACACGTTGACTACGAAGTGGTACATATGCGTACCACGAAATGTATTTCTCCAGGACGTAGTGGTACATAATTCAGGTTGCCTAAAATCGGCCAAATTCGAGAACAAATAAGGTCGCAATGATTCAGGCTTAGGAGCACTAGAGGCTTCAGCCAAGCGACCAGATCGACGTCTCAGTGAGGTTAAGTCTGTCTTTAACTTGTCTTTCATAGACTGCAAGTATGAAGACATCCCGTCAACTTTAGGCGACGCACCAACTGGATGGTCAACACCGGACAACCACACCTGTACGATCTGAACGCACTCTTCAAGGAAATCACTCACATGAGAAAGAGCGGCATCAGCAGCGACAAGGACACTCTCAACTGCGTCACCCATAAGTGCTACATTAACTTCAGCAAGTTCGCCAGTGAGATCAATAAGGCGGGCCGGCTCGTCTATCAAAATACCAGACATGCTTCAGGTTTCATCGCACATGCTGAGTATTGCATGCGTTGGAAAAGACTCGGGTTCAGCGTTATGATCGCTAGTTAGTTCACTTATTCTAGGAAGGATGTCAGTTCTAGGTTCATTCTGCGCATTTCCAACTGAATCATACGAACACCAAACTAAATCATCCCGTATCCTTGGCATGACCGTCATGGTGCTCACTACTTCTGGAATTGGCGTCTCTGAATCAACTACGGTTTCTTTAGAACTCGTGAACTCACAAGTGGTTTCAGAAACATGAAACGTAAACGGAATCTCCTGAAAACTCGAACTTGATGGATCCGTTCCACCGTCGTCATGATGCGGTTCAGGCTGCTCATAAACAATGGGCTGCACTTCCCCAAAATATTCCACGTCTGGTGGCCAGATGGACACAACGCACGACGGTACCACGCTAGGAAAATAAATAGGTTGTTGGTCCGAAGGGTGAAGATCCGGCGGTACAGTGCCATCCTCTTCGTCCATACCCGAGGGCCTGCTACGGTGAAGCTCTGAAGAGTCCCTCTCCTCTGCAGAGCTTAAAAGATTAACTGTCGAGCTGCAGTACACTCGTTTCCGGCGTGGTTCCCAGAGCAGCGGGGACATTTCAAGAGAGCTTGTCTATGACGATATCTAGGACAGTCGTCCATCGCGTGCTTCAAGTCACCGCAAAATAAACAGGCTCCAAGATACTCCCAACATGTTTCCACTTCGTGACCTCTGCAGCCACACCAATAACAGAGAAAAACGACGTAGAGTGCCGGTAGGCGACGGTGTCTGATAATGTGAGCGTGATGCAGCGTCTGCATCGCGGCCTTCCTCAGCAGACTGCCGGTGGTCCCTCTGTAGGTAAGACTTTAAGCTGGCCGCCGATCCTCGAAATGGCTTCGCGCCGGCGGCTGACCGCTGGTCACGCCAGTTATTACTGCTGCCAAAACGACGAGTTTTGTACCAACAAGATAGGAGTTTTTTCTCCATTTCGGGAAACTGCAGGCGACGACCACCGAGTGCCTCGTATTATTCTTCANCTGTCTCTTATACACATCTAGATGTGTATAAGAGACAGGAATAAAAGTGACGCGTATCGAATGATCAGGGTGAACAGACTTTTTCTCTAAATGAAAATGCTAGTAAAGATCGATAGATAAAAACATTAATGGAAAAATGGGTACAAATTTAGCAGAACAAATACAAGAATAACTGTTGAATGATCGCAAAAAAATTATAAGGAAAATCGCGGTACAAAAATTTAGAGACGCATGAGGCGCGGCTACACAGTGACACAGCGGATCGCGCTCAACATTGCCCACCGCTCCTGCGTCCCTTTACTATTTGCGGCGAGCAGGTCAAATTTTGCGAAAAAATCCACCTTGTAAAAGTAAATGTTCGACATAAATTTGAAAACTGGACAAAGAAAATGATATTTTTGAATTTTACATAACCAGGCAAATAGATAGGAGTTATTTGTCTATTTGTTATTCGATAATTTGTCCTCAATATTTTATCATTCACAATAAATGATTAATATAAGTTAAATCTGAAAGTCAGCGGCTTTCGCTTAGGAAAGGAATTTTAATTACAAATATCACCAAAAATGAAAACCGAATCATCTGAAGACATGTTACCGAGTGCATAATATTTATATAGTGGAAATGTTTAATAATGATACAGTAAAGTTAAATGTTATATAAATAACCTTACCTCCATTCTAGCGGCAGGCGAAACGTCGTAAAGTATATAGGATTCCGTCGGTGAGAGAAATTGTTCCAGTTGACGGGGAAAGCCAAGAAAATTTTGTACGTTATAAGTAAAATTTAACAGTCGGATTTCCAAAAATTTCGAATTGGAAATGTAATGGAACTAAGTTTCAACACGATGAAATTGTTATTTAAAATTTTTGAGTTTAAAATTACTGACGAGTGACGACTGAGAAATATTTATTGTAAAATTGACAAGGCTTTTTTTCGAAAGAACAATACGTTTTTTGAACGGTCTCCTGTCTCATATTTTCTATGCATGGGATCGCAATTAAATACAATCCTTGCTCCTACAATCATTTTAATACAATAACTGCACTAAGTAATTTCATTTCCTGCAATTATTTCACAAAATAATTCATATTCAAGCACTAATCACACCTTCCATTCCACTCATACACATCACACTGATACAACGGATTCAAACAAAATGGAGGGAACCGTCGGCAGGAGCAACGGATAACATTTTCTTCCAAATAATGACAATACACCAAGGTTTAACTTTCAATTTCGATTAAAGTTATCCAGATTTGATTTAAAAGTCTATAATTATTATTTAATAAATCTAAAGCGCCAAATAATTTCAAAATAAGCGAATATAGATTAACTTGCCACTTACACGTAATATTTCGATATATTGTAAATCGTATTGAATGCAGCGTTTGAAACGCTCGCCACCCGCGGCTGTCATCGCAACGTATTCTGAGAACTGGAAATTTTTAAAATTTGCGTAAGTATTGTTACAAGATAATAATCTCAAACCTCATATCAACAAAAAAGTAAAATACTCTTTATTTAAAAATACGTATCGCATTTTCGGTGAATAGGGAATTTTTCGATAAGTGTAAGAGGAAAAATTGTGATATAAATTCGTTTAGCAAGAATACGCATGAACAACAACCTGAACACGGGCAGAAGAACACGCATGCCACTTTAATGCAATTATATCAAAGCGAACAAGATCAAAGTGCTTCTCAAACAAATGAGTGCAATAAAAAAAACAAATGCACTTTTACGCTTACGTATTCTTCGCACAATATTTTTGAAAACATTACGACTTTTCTAACTAAAGAAAGCAGAAAATATAATTTTTAATTCGCAAAAAAACAGTGAATTGTTCATACTGAATCGAAAGGGAAACACATTAATTTTTTAATGCATCAACCTTATGGACGGCATCAAATTGATGCACTAAAAAATGAAAGTAAATGATTCGGAATTCTTCATTCCCATTCCCCGAATTAGTATGCTATTTCGCTTAAAAAACCTCAAGTTATAAATCATATAAACAAAATTAATTCCGTTAAACTGTTTTTCGCCTTTTTATTTTTTCGAAATAACTGGCGATACGGCAACTAATTTTCGTTGATAAATGCAAATCTTAGTTTATTTCAATATCGAATTGAAGGATCTTAATCCAAAGAAGGCAGAACAATAATGACGGAAACAATTATGGAATAAATTACATAATAAACATGGCTACACTAAAATTGCTGTCAAAACTACTTAATACAAGCGAAAAAAAGAAACTCGCGTTGCTTCTATCCCATTTTATGCCTGCCAACACGTAAAAATTGCCTATTTAGACGTTAAGCATCACTCAGCAATTCTGGGTCTGATGTTTGCAAAAAGTGAACTGATCGATGATTCGATTAAATTTCAATTTTCACTGCCAAGTACAGGCAATCAACGGATGCAAATTAGCCAAGCATCATCCGGAGCAGTGGAATGACTGAATTCAGATTCAGAAAGACTGGTTCTTTTTGCATTCTCTGGAAGTCAGCGAATATTTTGCTATTGTATCATGTACCCATGACGCCTATTGTATCATGTGTTCATTCTGCTGAACAGACAATGCTCATTTAAACTATAAAATTAACGTAAAAGTAATTTTTCTTTTGTGTTTTTTAATTGCTCTCATCACACGTTGTGAAGGGGTGACAGTTCCATGTATTGATGGAAGCTAATTACTGTTATTATTAAGACATCGGCAAGAGAAAACGAGGAAAATAGAATAATTTAAAAACAGAGGAAATCGAAACGAAGTCTTACCTGAAAAATATCATGACGCTAAAAGTTACGCCATTATAAAGCAACCCGTAATTGATTGCAGTTGTAGTTTATACTCGTATGTCTCCACGAATTCATCCGTTTTGTGTGCCTAACGCATTTTTTCCACCAAATATTCTCAACTCGCTTTCGTGCTTCATACTCTATGACAGTCCAATGGCCTTAAAAAGTATAAATTAAAAATGGAAAATTCGCATATGGGAGCATTTTATCTTGAAACTTTTTGTGACTATACCGTTTAGTTCAGAATACATCATCGTCTATCTTACTACTGGTCTCTTAGCTTTAAGTCTCATTTGGGGTTCATTTCATTTATTTAGTTTACACCCGGGAAAGTAATGCTTTAATTCACGATGATAGCCACAATATTTCTAATGATTCGTCAAAAACAACGATTCACATCGTTATAAACCCGTCATATTTTATCCTTAAATTATACTTCGATTCTTCCTCGCAAATTTCAGCGAAGCTCTCAAATCCCAAGATAAGGGAACGTCTGATCTAATATAAGAAGGAAAATAACTTCACCAAGCAATTACTCATTTAAACTTGAAATCATAGTATACCAGTGACGAAATTCTAAATTCAAAATTTAAATCACGTTTACTTCATAAATTGTTTGATCAATAATTGCAATTGTGTGTTTAATGTATAATTTGCTTCCCAAGAAATATACGTTAAATTTGTATATAATTAACATCAACTCACAACTATGATGTTTTATCTAATTCAATACGAAGGTCAACTCAAGTAGGAAATAATCTCTATCGAACGGAGAAATCGTCGGGTTCAATGATGACTGAGTGACAAGTCGTGTTTACCTACACGTTCATCCGTAACTCTTTTTGCTAACTTCATTGAAAATGACTTGACTGAATTCCGACATGTTTGTTATACGGTACGGCCTACATTTTGAGAGGCAGTACGGTAGGTAAACTCCGAGACCGAGGTTTACAGCTAAGGCTCTGGAAACCTGACTTATTATGTTCATTCGTAATTGAATGGGGCTTTGGAGATTAACTGAAAAGCATCCGGTAAGCACGGGATGAACAATGGCTGAAACCACGACGGCAATAACTCGTTAAATGAGAACTGTACTGCAGATGAAACGAGGTTATATCAAAACATTTGTGTATCACTGTGTTCTCTAACAGAGAAATTTTTTTAATATCAGGAACTTTGCGACAATCAGCAATTTTTCTGGACGTGAGAATGAAGCGCGAGTCGTAGCCCCTATCATCAGTTCTAAGACTCGCGTCACTGCGGAAAGAATCCTTCTTGTGTAGATGGCGGTGATGCAAGTGGAAGATTGGTTGCTGGTATAAAAGGGGTGCTTCATAAACTGGTCAGATCGTAGGGATCGTAGCAGACTGCTTGAGCAATGTGACCGAAGTGACGTCCCGCATTGAAGCTCCCGTAGTGTCGGCCGTCCGGAGACGACTACTGGGAGAGACTGCTTTCAACCGACGGGCTCTGGCCTGTCAGTTGGGGCAGCAAGTTGGACCCGCTGGCGCCCGAACTCTGCTGTGAACACATGCAGACAACCACGTTAAGAATGTAATGCCTCGTCTATCTGGCAAAGATCCTATAATAGTATGTGGTTTATTTAGAAAGTAGAAATTTTGATGAATCGGAAACATCCCTAACGCTGTACGTTTCACGCTGTAGAAATATCGAGTGCCAAAAACACGAGCAATGAGGGTTGTTCCGCAACTTTCCTGACATTAAATTTGAATCTCCAATCAAACACAAGTATGGTACCAATTGCACCTTACTTGTGTCATCGTCGACCACTCGATGCAACCCACGCCAGACCTATACTATGTATCAGTATATCATCTTATACTAAGCGATGTAGGAGGATCAACACCTGTGTGCGAAAAGCCCTCTAAATGGTTGCTGCAGACTAGCAGAAGCTTCGAATGGAAAATAGCGAAAACTTTTTCTTTTACAGGCGCCATTCCTGCATAAACTGAAGAGGTACGTTACCTCAAGTGCACTGTTGCTACATGACGGTGATCTTGTAGAACTTGAGAGTGTATTCATCTCAAATGACAAAATATTTATAATTCTATGAAACGATAGAAAAACACCATAAAACTTAGATATAGCTAATAAGACGCATAGAACAAATATAGATTACTCAGGTGCTTCTGATTCCTGGTGATTACAGTCAAGTGCCTTTAATTATAACCGAGTGAATGCATCTTGATTCATTGCTGCGCCTCATTAACTTGCATGCAGCACTTTTTCAAATCGAAATCCAGGAAGCACCATGTAGTTTATTGCATATACCTAATTTTGTAGAAAATTTATTGAACAGAGTCACATCACATTTATCTCATTTGCTCGGCTGCTATAAACCATAACCACTGTTAATCACGTCAAGAAATAATTATTTATCCGCTGTTTAAAAAAAACGAGGGAGAACATACGTATACCAAAAAAGAAATCAACTGCAAAAAATATATAAGCCAAAATTAAGCACCTGACTCATTCTTATCTGGTTGAAGCGTTCTATTTCTTCATCAGGCAAACTGTAGGAGAAGTTGTCAAAGAAGGGATGAGTCAGCAATTGTCTGCATGTCATTCGCTTTGACGGGTCCACGTCGAGACATTTCTGTAAAACGCAATTTTGTATAGATGTCTACGCATAAAAAAGAGAAAAAAATCGGTTTCTTAACTACTATTTGCGAAGTTACACATTTTTTTCAATGAGGATGTTAGATGCAAAATAATATTAGGAGCGGTTGTGTTGCTGACTCGTGCTTGGCATACGTATACAAATAAAATAATTGGGTCAATATTATTACCGTACATATTTGCATTTGTGTATATTAAGTTTTTCCTCTTTAGGCCTACCTACAGCAACATTATCGAAAAGGGTCATGGCCATTTATTCATTTATTGAGCGAGTTTTCGGTGATCAGTTGCAGATGAGAGACGCTCATTATTTGAGATAATAAAGTCCACAACTGCCTCGTCCAAGCTTTAGAACGTCAGCCCTTGCTGCACCAAATGTTCATTAAAATTAATTCAATTATTTACTTTTTACTTATAGTTTTGCGCGGGTTAAGAGTGTTTTTGCTAAAATAGAGTGAATTCAGGTGACATTTTTTTTTTTTTGCTTTCAAGTTCTTGGTCCATTGGCAATTTAGGGTAAGTGATGATGCAAATATGTTCATTTTTAGTAAATGAAAACATTATTGTAATTTATGTCTTAAAAAGAATCGTTCACTCTAGGGTAGGCACGAGTACTAAAAATTCATGAATAATTCATGCATCGCAAACTGAGATTGCTGACAATATTGTATTGCATATCTTATTCATATAAATAATGAATGGTCATCCATATAATATACGAAAACCCCATAAGACAACCTTTAAGGTTATTGAAAGATTTTTTAAACGAACGTGGTTAAATAAATGAAATAACAATGAAAATATTTCTATGTTATCATCAAAATTTATCAGATATTTTTCGCAGCAGACACATCATCGTAAAATAAAAAATAAAATAAAAAGTGTAGCTCTGCTATGTCAGAATGAACCACAATAGTAAATCATCATTTATAAGTTCCACCAAGGTATGTATAATTCTATGTTATATCTATATGTACATAGAATATATAACAAAATGGGGAATAATATTACAGAAATATCAAGTGACAAAATAACGTGAACATAGAAATTTCCTTTCGTAGGATATTAGAACGCTGAAGGATAATAGATCTAACGTTCATTCTTTACTTCATCTTATTCAAAAAGTTGTATGTTCAAACTTCAGGATTAATCAAGGAATAGAGAGGCATTTCGAAAGAAATTGAAGTCAAAAGACTTCAATTTAAAAAGACTTTAGCACAAAGAAAAGGTTCAGGTTTAGAAATGAACATTCGCAACATGAAATTGTGACGAAAGAACGACGAATTAAACGTGAATGACACAACACCTTCAAGAAGTCTAAAGCGTCCGTAGAGATGGAGGCGGGCATCTTGGCCTCTAGCGTCTCCCTGATGCCGGTCTCCGGTAGCCTAAGGCCCCGGAAGAAGTCGTTGCTGCTGTACACCTTCATGTGGTACGGCAGTAACTCGCCTGCGGAGCAGTTCATGTCGTTATCACGAAACTCATCAAATTACGAGAAATTATCCCTCACTATTACGAATTGTCTCTTTTACTCGCTGTCAAGTGACACGGCAGAGCTAGTTACATGCCAGGCGACTACGGCTGGTGATGTTAGGGTTTCATTTCACTTTCTGATAGCTATAATACCTGATAATCACTAAGTCCTTTATGGGGATACATTGTTGTTAATTTAAATAATTATTAGTTGTTCATCATTTTTCTCAGTCAATTTAACTTAAACGAAAAGTCTGTAGATGCTTTAATACCTATAATTTTTTTAAGTTATTCGAACCACGTCCGGTCCTGTACAGTGAGATGTCTTCTGCCGGTCCTGACATGTGCAGCCATGTTATTTGGCAAAATTAGAGGTGTTAATGTTATATAGCTCAGTTGTCTAGGAAAAGAGTTGATCGCAGTAGGCATCAGCATGTATTGGAATGACGTTACGTAATTTTTACATCAAGGTTGCAAAACAGCACGCCAGAAGTTATTGTTCTAATGCCGTACCATCAAATATAGTCAAGTACTAATAACTCCGTCAGCCAATCACTGACGATTTTTCAATGTAAACACACTGTAGCTGCGCAGTTCCGCGGTCATTTGTCGAAACCAGTGATCCGCTTATTACTTGCGGACTGGGTCGGATTTAGTACGTGTTTTTCTTTTGTAACCGGACCGCGTAGCAGAGTGGATGTCTCGTTCTGTCGTCGTCAGAGTTGGTGTTTCCGGTTTTGAGTGGCGGGTAAGGCTATGGACTGTGAGTCTCCCTTTACGCTACCTATGGTTTCGGATGCCTATAGTGTTCGTGTGAAACAGTCGTGTTCGAATTGGTTAACCGAAAATGTCTAAACCTATTCTTTAATCGTGTTTATGTTGTCTTAGTGAGTTTTGCTCATTTCGCGTATTGAATTATTACAGGTGGTGTGGGTACTAAACTTGGTATCTATCTTCTGGTGAAGCAATTGTTGACACACAGCGGGGAAGCTAACAATCGATACCTGCGGCGCTTTATACGTTTTGGTGACCCGGCAGCGCCTGTGAAGTACTGCGCCTAAGAACCCTACCTGAATGAGCTACATCTTCTTTTAGAGAGTTCAGACGCCAATGTAGCGATCTGCTTGTCATTTATTTGCTACCAATCATCGGCGGCTGAAAATAAAACCCGGTATATTTGAAACTGGTGCCCCAAAGCCGCGTGTTTTGGAAATTCCAAGGAGGCATCCAAGTGATCGGAGTTCCAGCATCCATCAGAGAGTTTGAAGACCCCAAGGTCTCACAGCGGTCACGACAGCCAATTCGTGTAGTTAGGCTGTTGGTGTTTGGATGTGTGGGCCTTCCTAATCCTTGTCAGGATGGTTCCTTGTGGTTTTAGAAGGGTTCTAACTTATATAGTATGTGCATTGTAGAGTAGATAGGTTAGATGGGATCTTTTGTATATTTAGGTTTATTTTAGATTCACTTGTTTTTTATAACCGTGTAAGAGTGGCTCATGTAATAAAACTTCAAGAACCAGTTTTAGAAATTCCTTTCGTTACTTTGCCTAATGTTTAAGTTTCCTCACTATCGAGTCTGAAATAGACTGCGATAGCCTGTATATGTTGATAGCTCTCCCGCAACAACACCAATCACAACCAAAAAATTGCCGGCTAATTGAACGTAGGCCACTGCGTGTACAGTAAAGTTAGTTTTGTTCGTACGGCTCTTATCTCACACTTCCTTCGCATTCTGCAGTACGCCTTCAAGCTCATTATAATCAGCAAGACGTCCCGGCGTCGTAGAGCGATTTCAGGATTTTTGATTCCACCAAGGGTTTTGGAATCTCTGCATTATTTTAAACAAAAAATATTCCTTAACAACGCTTAGCTTAAAGTTTTTATCCACTTGAAATTGTTAATCGATAGATTTTTATGAGCCTTGTCCCGTTTATTCACTTGGTGAATTCACTTCGTGTTTTCTTCGCACCAGAAATTATGGCTCAACTTATACAGGCCAACTACACCGCATGTTCTCACCGATTGTCTTCTTGATGATGTGGAGTTGATCGATGTCGGACTTGCCGGGCCAGAGGACCTCACCGCGGATCATCTCCGCCATGACGCAGCCGATGGCCCAGACGTCGACGGACGCGCAATACTTGGTGTCACCCACGACAAGCTCGGGCGCCCGATACCACCGCCTGCCCACGTAGTCCGTGTACGACTCGTTGGCTGCTTGAGCAATGTGGAGGCATAAGTTAGAAAATACTACATTTGTTTTAATGTTATTAATGTACGCAAAGACCTGGGATGCTTATTCACGACGTCTTAGGTTAATCTAGGACTTTCTATGTATTAAAGCTATGAATGGGTCATATATGAGGCTAGCGATTACATGCAATGTAACCTTGAATAAGATGACAAAAAGTGATAGATATACAAGATTTTCGGAAATCTATGGTATGGAATTTCGGGGACAAGGTATTCAATTTCTTAACATCCCTGCCGTTACTGACGATAATATCAAAATACACTCTCATGTTCAATGAAAGTTGAACTTACTGAGCATCCTTGCGAAGCCGAAATCACAGAGTTTTACGACGCCGTGTCTGGTAATGAGGACGTTTTCTGGCTGGACGTCGCGGTGGATGACGTTGCTCTCGTGGCAGAACCGCACCGCCTCCACCAGCTGGTAGATGATCTTCTTTGTCTCCTTCTCGGGGAACCTGCAGCGAACGGGAGTAAAAGACTGTAATGCTGTCCAATATTCCAATATTGGCAACACCAGCTTCATAGATGTTGAATTTAACTCATAATGGTTGTTTTTGAACATGTGGATATACTGAGGCGGAGAAAAGATAACTGAATCTTGAATATACGAGTGCATAGTAGGTTCAAACATTTCTCGTGACACTTCCCAGTATGATTAAATATTATTATATCAAGTATCTAGACAAATGAGGCCTGATGACGGAAACTTAATGTTAAGTGGGTAATCTGTAACAAAACACTTACGAATTTCTTCCATTTATAAAAGACAATAAAGGATTTAACAAGAGTTAAAGTTTTTGTTTGCAATTAAATACATTAAATCAATCAATTAAAAGAAAGGAATGCGTCAAAAATTCACCATTTTTCATTGCAAACTTTTCGGATACATTTCTGAAAACTTTTGAACATTCATTATGACGTCAAATTTATTTACATATGTAATTGAAATCTACTTTTCGACAAAATGTGCAGAATAGAAATCTAATTTTGTAGAAACTCGTGCGAGCTGTTTAAAATCATTTTTAACTGATGGATCAGGTCTCAGGAATGTTTTATTAATCTTAATAATTGAACCTAATACATTCAAAATCATTGCTACCATTTACCAAAACTAATAAAGTTATTCGGCAAAAGCTATCCCGATAGATCACAGAACAATTTCTGTTGATGTCACTAATCCATCCTCACCCTTGCGGATTCTCCTCAATCTCCCATGAAAGTGTGTGGTCGCAATACTCGAACACCAGGTGCAGCTTACGCTTTCTTCGAAAAACTTCTATCATATTGACCAGGTTGGGATGTTTGAGACTCTGCCACGGAAATGAAACCTTTGATACTCTTTTCTTTTGGCATCCTCATTCCTTAGAAATATTCTGCTGTTGAATTTCAAGGGCACATAGATCCTCAATGAATGAGTGTTGGTTGCATTTGTAACTTCAGCTACCTATACGGAAGCTTGAGTTGAGGACGTACATGATTGCTTTGGGAAACTTCTTGACCAGAGATCAAAAACTTGGCTGATGTTACGACCAAAATTGATTTGCATTAAAGTCTATACAGAAGCATTTCAACAGTGGGTCTTTAAACGTAATATAACTTCGTCTTATTTGTCACATTTAACGAAGACATTTAAAAATTGTGATTTCACACTAACTGAAATTGCCCAGAGATTCCCGAGCACTGTTTTTATCGAAACCTCATCACAAGGTAAAAACTTTTGACAATATTTCATCATTCATGTTACCCTTAACTCACTTTGAGCATCTTTATTTCTCTAAGCGCGATCTTGCGGATATGCGGATCGTCCTCTGACTCCATGAATTTCTTGATAGCCACGAGCTCATCGGTCTCCTTCACGCGGCACTTGTAGACCATCCCGTAGGATCCTTCGCCGGCCCTGCTGATCTTCTCGTACTTCTCCATGGCGCGGGCTTCTACACTGGGCCTCGGAAAAGACAATTTCAGGCATATATGCATATAATACATTCTTACACTATATATATATCTCGCCGGCCCTCCTGATTTTCTCGTACTTCTTCATGGCGCGGATATATATATATTGTTACTAACATTACCGGACAGAGGGTACAAAACCGGACAAAATCGAGTCCGGTAATTAACTCTGCAATTGGTTTGTACTTAAAAACCGGACACGAAAATAAATGAACTACATTACCGGACACCAAAAAATGCCAACCTCGTTAGGTATATATGAAGGCCAGAGAATTGTAGACAAAACACCATTTCTCTCAGGTCTTCATTGATCGCATTGAAGAATCGAAGACAAGTCAAACAGCACTATTCATTTGTGGTTCGTAAAAAAACACGGAAACTGATTATTATCAAAGCACATGAACCTTAGGTAAAAACATGATAAATCAAGCACTGTGGAACCGTCAGTATACTCAAAACATGGAATGAACTCACAATAATGTATGACGATATTCATGACATTTATCATCAAAACATTAATCTTGACTGCCGGGCAATGTCCTGAAATGTCCTTGAAAATCTCACCTGTTAAACGGTGCCTGAAATTTCACAATTTCCGCTTAGAAATAGCATAACGTAAAAAATATACAAGGATTCTCAAGTGGATGTAAGATAACACAGCGTTGCTATAAAGTTCTTTGTAAGCTCGGAATGGCAGGTATAGCAACGGTGCCGCGCGACGTCCAACAAACGAGCCTGGAGAGCGAGCAGCCGACAGGCAGTGGCCGCTGACTAGGTGAACTTTCCGTGGTCATAGAAACAAGAGCTGCAGCGAGCCCAGTGATCAATGAATACATCACTATATTACTATTGGTGCGTAGGAATGCACCTGCCAGGCTTCTGTTGCATCAATTAATCTCGGTATATACATTTTGTTCGTAAGTAGCTCGAGCATTGAATAAATTTAGCCAATAAACTCAAATCAGTCCTAAGTCAATGAGCGATTTAGCTCTCAATTTTCACAAGCTTGTATTCACGCTATGCTTTTAACTTTAATTCCTTGTTCAATGCTTGTGACACCGGATATTAAAATGTACGTAGAGTTTTAGCTTCCACAACCGGTGTTTCTGACCTGCGAATTTTAGAGTCGAGTCCCCGCATATTTTTAAACAAAAATCTAATTTAAATGCCGCCCACAGTTTATGTCCCCTCGAAATTGTAAATAGATAGGTTTGTCTGCTCATATTTACTTCATTCTTATTTGCTTGCATTTGACGATTCATGTTTTAATATCTTCAGTGTGAATTTTAGTTTGTTACTTGCTTTTACTTGTGTATTTTAGGTTTTTGAACTGACGATGGAGCTGGACTCTCATTAGTCAGTTCAAACACACAGCTCTCAGCTGGACACTCAAAAATTTCTCTCATAAAAAATGGAGAATTTATTTGTTGTTTTCTTTGCTTCTAAGTTCTTGATGAACTTGCGATTTAAGCAATCAAAATATTGATCTTAATAATAATTATACCTTATTAATTATATGTGCTATAATGTTCATTTCCATTTTTAAAAATCATTATTTTCGGCTATATTCTTATCCTTGGAGCAGAGAATCTTACTCATAATTTCTAGCGCATCTCTCAAATACAGAGTGAACTAATTGGACTCAGTTAAGGAGGTAAATAATTATCACCAATAAATTACTCATATATACTTGATATACATGCAATTATTGATGATCTGTAGCGATGTTATAAATTGGTCATATTTTGTTTAATACATCCACAAGGATAGCATTCATGATTATTCTCCTAGAACTTGAATTCAACGTCTAGTCTAAAGTTCTAATGCTAGAAGATGCTTTTGAAAATCGGGTACGTTGAATCAAGATGTACTCTTCGAGTAAGGAAATTGGCCTTTCTATGTAATTTAACACAATACCTAAAAGCCTCTGGGCTATCGGTTCTGAATTCTCGAACAGATAAGACAAATCAAAAAGATTGTCAGGACCCACGATATATATAAGAGTCCCTCCTCACGGCCTATAGCGACCGACTGATTCAGTCGTGTCAGCCAACACATTTGTACGTAGCTTTCCTTGATTCCTTCATTGACTTGACTGAATTCCCGCCTTTTATGCTGGATGGCCTACATACTGATAGGCAGTACGGTAGGCCTACCTGTTGGTCGCACGACTGAGATCTACAGTTAAGGTTTAGGGATCCTTTAGTTGAAAATTAACTGACAAGCGTTCGGCAAGCATGGAACGAAAAATAACCGAAACGCTGATGGCAGTAACTCATTAAATAAGACACCTTTTGCGGTAGAGAAAAAAATGATGTATCGCAACGTTTGTGAATCAATAAATAAAACGAAAAATATATATTTTAGTGAGAGTACATTTAAAATTAAGCCTAATAGCCATTCTGCTACAGCGTCTAAGAAAATTTTCAATCAACGGAACACTGAAAAATGAACGATACGGTTAAGTACGCTCGAACTTGGTTAAACCCAAACGCAAGGTCTAATACGAAACTGATTTCTGATAACAACATAATAACTGAAAATCTCAACGCAACATAAACTGTAGGTTGAAGGTACTCCATTCTAGCCATGTACATGTGTAAGAGATACGCTGTATTTACAATAACTTTACTTAACGAAAAACACCTAAACCATATAACTATTTTTCATGACAGTAGCTTAATTATGATAAATGCTTCGCGGATTACAAAAGTATACTAGATTAACGAAAGCTGATTTCATTCTAGAATTTTCACACCAGTGTACATGTGAACACAGTAAATATTATCACACTAATAATTAATATTTAACGGACCTTATGAATTGTTTCAATTATTCTTGTACTTGGAAACTTTACCAAGCATATAATGGAGTGTCTTCAGGGTTATTTAACTTTAAGATATATTTAAGATCGCCTAAACATTACGTTTTTCATGATTATATTTATTTGATCTATTTATTCGTTCATATTAGTTCATAAATTGTCTTAATCAAACGATCATTAACTTGGTTGGTCCCAAATACAAATAATAACTCTTCGTTCGGGAACAAAAAATAAAACAAGCTACGTTTGCTTCACGCATCTTTTTTTTAATAGCTACTGGAAATCTTTAAATCAAAGAGGACAAAATACTTGAAACCATGACGAAATAAATTGCAATTTATATTTCATACCCGAATAATAACCTGAAAAACAGCGTGGTGGACAAGATCTGAAGAACATGCATCGGTTTCACTCGACTCTATACCAGTGAACGCATTCGCTCACATATTCTGAATCGGGTGCCAGTAAGAACTCAACTGCTCAGCAATTCCATTAAATTTAAATTTTCCTCTCCTATGCACAGGCAATCAATGGATGCAAATTAGACCTTTAACATCAAGAGCTGCTGGCGGTGAAGTCAGATTGAGAAAGACTGCTCCTTTTTTGCGCTCGCTAAAGGTCGCGGAAAATTTTTACTGGAATACCACTTCCCCACGGTGCCATTTGTATATTTTTCTTAAATTGTTTTTACTAGCGAAAATTTTACTAGAATTACACGTCCCCAGGGTAACATTTGAATATTTTTACGCTCTCTAGAGGCCACCGAAATTTCACTAAAAATACCAAAAGTGGCATTTGTATCCTGTTGTCAGTGATGGCCTCTGTGCGCGTTAAGTGAAGGTTTTGAATTTAAATTTGCCGTTCAATCTACTCGAATTTCTTGGCATGAATTTCAAGCCGCTATTTCAGCAGTTTTAATTAAAGTCCATCAAATATTTTAGAGATTCAATGTTGAATATCTGAGATGATAATGAAAGCAGTAAAAATAACGAACAAAGAGGCGGAGACAAATAATGTTACTATTGTTAATGATTGTATACGCGTACACATTTTCATTAACAGAAAGGAAAGGAATATGAAGTCTTACATGTATTGTATCATCACACAAACAGTCACGCCATTCACAGACTGCCTGATTGCTTCCAGGTTCTAGTGGCAAGTACCAGTTTTTCTGTCAAAAGGAATGGAACTTTTTGTAGAGTATCCCATAAAGCTCAGAAGACATAAAGCTCTTTCCAGACTTTTCGCCCTTCTTATGGCTTGTGGTGTCGCCTAGTAAATTATTTTGCATGGGGGAGAGTAACAAGCTGTTTTTTCTCGAGGATAAGCCATCCTTGAAGTCAAATGGAGAACCCTTACCGGCTTTCGAAACGCTGTCCGTCTTCTTGAAGCCTTGCGGTTGCCCAAACATCGGCAACGTGATGGAATCGCTACGTCGCAGGTCTCGAGCTCTGTGACGATCAGCAGTGCTTGGACTTTTACTCCACGGGAGGTGCAAACCATCACGCGAATTTTTCTGAAGGTTAAAATTGCTTAACTGAAAATTAGTGCTTTTGTTTTCATCCCAAAGAAAGTTGGTCTTTCTGAGGCGCGAGTCGTAGCCCCTATCGTCAGGTCTAAGACTCGCGTCACTGCCGAAAGAATCCTTCTTGTGTAGATGGCGGTGATGCAAGTGGAAGATTGGTTGCTGGTATAAAGGTGGTGCTTTATAAACTGGTCAGATCGTAGGGAAGTGGTCGAAGTGACGTCCTGCATTGAAGCTCCCGTAGTGTCGGACGTCAGGGGACGACGACAGCGAGAGGCTGCTGCCCCCCGACGGGCTCTGGCCCGCCAATTGGGGCAGCAAGTTGGACCCGCTGGCGCTCGAACTCAGCTGTCAACACATGCACACATTTAAGTTACGAATATTATTACTCTAGCGCACAACTAAATATGCAGGATTGTCTTGACAGAATATAAATATTCATAGTCGGCAATTAGATTCTACGCTCGTTTTTTTGCTCAATATTGAGTGTTAGTAAGATAGGAAAAGATTTTACTCAAAACCGATTGTGATTTTACCCAAAATTAAATTGTGATCAGCTTCAGCTTCGATGTGCTTGTGACCGGAATGCATACAAGTGCACTGTGCACTTCGATTATGTTTCGCCATTCCAGCTCTTATTGAATAATTGATAAACGCATTTAATTACGCATGGACAAAGTTACAACGCACGAAATTTTATTTTGAGGAAAGTTTCAAAAAAGACTTTAGTTGCTCAGCTCACAAATTTCATTACTAAAGTGTATACAGTTGGTTCATTCTGGGGAGTAAACGAACCATCAATGTCAAATAAATCTTAATTATTGTAACCAGGTGATTATTAATAGCTCTGCTTCTTTGTCGCTCACCGCCCTCGGTCAATTAAGTTTCAGTCTCTTCAGTGTAAATTTAATCATACCAATTACAAAGTATTACCTGAACTATAGGATTTTTGACGATAATGGAACTGAGCCAACGTCTCAGAGAAGTTATCGATTGAAACATGAAAAAATTTCTTGGAACTCTAGGTAAATTGACGATCTGAGATGAGAAATGCGCCACTTGAATCTAGCAAAGAATATTATACGAATCCTTGTGAGTCTCATATACGAGGCTGTACACTTCGGAATCTTTGCGCGTAAAATAAATGTCTTATCTTTAAAATTGAATGCAATTGAACTATAGAATGACCTTTTTATATGAAAACCAATTTACTTGTAGATTTCAACGTAGTCAGGATGTTAAAAATGTACGTTTTTCAATGTGCTTTGATTTTAATGATGAGCAGGTGATTGAGAGCAGAGCTGAGCACTACACTCGATGTGATGAATTAAAGTTCACCCTTAAACGTGGTATTTAAAGTTGAGCAATACAGAAGTGCACATTCGTGTACATATCATTAATAAAAAGACAACTTTCAAATTTTGATATACAGCAGATTATTATAATGGTGCCTTTTGTCTGCGAAAGTTACGCCTGAATTTTTAACTGTCTTCCTTTTTGAGAAAAGCATGCATGATTATAAACTGAAAGTAGTTCACATACAAACTGAAATAGATCTTAATCTATACGCATCAATGTTCTAGTTATACATGACAAGGTTGTGGTCTTATCTCATAAATTTAGGCCACTAGTGTTCAGAGGCAAACCGTGGAAAAATGCCTTTATTGAAGCAAGTCAAGCAAGAGGTGAAATATGATATTTCTCGTTGAAGACAGCGTTCAGAGAAAATTTTGTTTCGAGCGCGTTACTATTATTCGTTTAATGGCGGGATATCCGGCGACTCTTCCTTGTTCTTGGAAATTCTCCTGTGCAACTGGCAAAACGAACTTCAATCGAATGAAACGAACTTCAAACGAATTCTACATTTATTCTTTATAATAATTTTTCTACTGAATGAGGGGCCTACATAATATGGATCTCACATATTAAGGTGCCGCTTAATAATTAACCCCGGCCTGTCCTACTGAATAATTTTACAAGGTTAGAATGGCTCAGAGTTTATGTACAATTTTACCTATGCAGTCCAACGATTGTGTTCATACTGGGAATTTATTTCCCACTAGATTAGGAATCCCTCACACTTTGTTACTTTCCCTCAAATTTTTCCCTCAAAATGAAACCCAAAGTTTAAACGTGCACGAAACGAGTACATTCCAAACTGCTTCATGTCACATGCATCACAAGTTTATTAACGAGATCTAGTTTTACAGAAAAACAAATTAAACCTCAAATCACTTCAAGTCTCTCTCATGTCGCTTACAAATAACTTTAATAACATAATTTTGTATCCAATTGGATATGCATCAGGAAACATCTAGAACAAATAACCCTTACATAACATCTAGAATGCTAGAATGTTAACTATTATAAAAACGTGGTGGTTAATGGAGGATTACACACATCTACCAAAACCACATCAACAACAAGAAAAATAAGCCATTGTATTCACCAAGTGCAGCTGACTCACTCTTCTTATCTGGTTGAAGCGTTCTATTTCTTCTTCGGGCAAACTGTAGGAGAAGTTGTCGAAGTACGGATGAGTCAGCAATTGCTTGCACGTCATCCGTTTAGACGGGTCCACGTCCAGGCATTTCTGGAACATGCAAATTGTGCTGAGATACCAGCGAATGACCATCGACAAAACATAGAGGAGAAATGTTTAATTGGAACATAGGATTCTTAGTTTAATGTTTTCACAATAAAGGATTCTGACTGAAATGTATTCATATAACAGATAAGAGTGTGATGAATTCACGTAGCACAATTCTTAGTATATAATGTATTTATATGGTAGGATTCAGAGCATGAAATTTTTGTAACTCGCTGTCTGTTTGATAGTCATAGATTTGATACACTTGTTAGAGCGATGTAACATGCCGAACTGAATCATGGCAAAGCTCATGTTGGAACAGAGTTATTCATTTTATATTTAAGAGTGCCTATCTGTGTGGGCTTGTGAAACCAAGAAGTGAATACATCCTGAAATATCGAGCTCGTATGCTCAATATGTCAGGCATCGCAAAACTGGCGTTATATTGGAAAACTGGAATTTAATTTATTCCTCAATTCATGCAATAGGGGTTCAACAGGAGTTCTCTATAAAATGAGGAATTGAACGAGTTTTGATTCAATTGTCTAACTTGGGTAAACGAATAATTACGGTAACTGAAAAAACGATTTTAAATGTATCTTTATTTATTTTTTACATTTATTGCATACGTACATCCTTAGTAACGCCGTGTCGCAAATGAATAACTCGCATTCATCACCATTGTTTGGAACCAATGCGCAGTTAGTTAATGAATAGGCCAGTTCAGTGAGTTAATGAATAGGCCAGCCTCTATGAAGAAAAACTAAACAAAGTGCGGTACACTCATTAATAATAATTAAAACACGCGGTTCTCGCGAGATGACGATTAATTTAATTTGGGTGACTGAGTACCTACCTTCAAGAAGTCTAAAGCGTCTGTGGAGATGGAGGCGGGCATCTTTGCCTCGAGCGTCTCCCTGATGCCGGTCTCCGGTAGCTTAAGGCCCCGGAAGAAGTCGTTGCTGCTGAACACCTTCATGTGGTACGGCAGTAACTCGCCTGCGGAGCAGTTCATTCGTGCTGTTAACGCGCGAAATTTACGATGCATACTTTGACGTTCACATTTTACATAATATATGAAAGTACGGCCCTCCGCTCACTAGGCACGCTGCACTGGAAATCGCCAAAAAATTACACTAAACTAACATACCTTAATACAACAGCTTCATTTCTTACTGCACTACAGGCCGACTGTGTTCGATCGCCTACCGCCTATCGCTTTTAAACTCTTGGCAGCGGCTTGAAATTAAGAGCTCATGTAGGGTTACTTCTGCGTATATATCATTTCTCCACAATAGCTTTACTTAACCCATGCTAGATTGATATCATTCCATTTCATCGTTATCTTTTAATGTTCTGCTCTCTCGCGGAATATCGTTCTATTCAGATGCGGGATGAATGTCTGAAATCGAATAACTTCTTTCACGTATGAAGTCCCAAATGTCTAAATGAATGGCGTTTAAATGGAAAAATTATATTCCTTAAAAAGATATTGTGTTCATAGGATGTAAGTATTGAAATTCGACTCTAACTGGAGATTGGCGGTTACTGTTGAAGGCTAATTGAACACATGTATAGGGAGACTCTCATAATTTCTTATAATAAATAATATAGATCATCTCCTCACCAAGCGTCTTCTTGATGATGTGGAGCTGGTCGAGGTCGGACTTGCCGGGCCAGAGGGCCTCACCGCGGATCATCTCCGCCATAACGCAGCCGATGGCCCAGACGTCGACAGGTGCGCCATACTTGGTGTCGCCCACGAGGAGCTCGGGCGCCCGATACCACCGCGTCGCCACATAGTCCGTGTACGACTCGTTAGCTGCATGAACCACGAGAGTATTAGCGTTTTGTGTGTGTAAGGCATAAGTTAAAATAGAGAAGATTTAATACTCTTTCGCAAGGAACTCAGGCGCCCCGATACCACCGCGTTGCCACATAGCCCGTATGCGACTCGTTCGCTGCTCGAGCAATAGGGATTGTTGCTTCTTTGTGTGCGTGTGAGGCAGAAGTTAAAATGAAGAACACTTAACATTCCCACAGGAGAAGCTCGGTCGCCCGATACCACCACGTAGCTACGACTCCTTGTTCGACTCGTTGGCTGCATGAACCACACGGAGTATTAGTGTTATGTGTGTGTAAGGCATAAGTTAAAATAGAGAAGGCTTAAAACTATTTCGCAAGGAACATAGGTACCCGATAACATTGCGTTGCCACGTACATAGTCCGTGTACGACTCGTTGGCTCATTGAGCAACGTGAATGTTAGTGTTGCCGCGTGAGGCGTACGTCAAAAAAAATACATTTACTTGAAGGCAATTGAGGTTTAGTAAGACCAGGGAAGCCCAATAACAATTTGAGCAGAGAGGGAGTACTAGTCTTGGCGTAATCGACGTGTTAAAGTAATGAATATGTTATCCAAGAGGTTAAGAAACGATTACGTTGAATAAACCTACAAAAAATGATAAACTACAAGAATCTTTTCAGAGATTCTGTCTATTAAATTTCGGGAAATGTTATTCTATTTCATGGCTGCAGTAATCCCTGCCGGTGCTCACAATAATATCAAAATACACTCTCATGCTCAATGAAATTTGGACTTACTGAGCATCCTGGCGAAGCCGAAATCACAAAGTTTGACGACGCCGCGTCTGGTAATGAGGACGTTTTCAGGCTTGACGTCGCGGTGGATGACGTTGCTCTCGTGGCAGAACCGCACCGCCTCCACCAGCTGGTAGATGATCTTCTTTGTCTCCTTTTCGGGGAACCTGCAGCGAACGGGAGTAAAAGAAGACTGCGTTGTTAAATACTTGCGGCTGCAGCTACAGAGATGTTGTCAAGTTTTAGACTCTTCATGGCAGTTTATTAATTTGCACATACGAATATACTGAGGCGGAAGAAAATGCATGCAAAGAGAGTATTGCGTTGACAAAAATTGGTGGCACCCATGACAGAAGTCCGAAGTTTCCTATATGCTGGTTACGTTAACACGTTAAGTGCGATACAACTCACCGGTGAGTTGCAGCGTTTTTTTTTCGGACAAGTTGCGCGATTTAGTTTGCCAGCCAATTGCATTGGCCGACAGAAATTTATGATGGCGGTCATTCCGTATTAAATCTTAAAATGTACAAAAATTAAAGTTGAGTTTTTGCACTGGAGCCTACAAATGTACAAGTGAATATTGATTTTAGATATATTTTGTCCGTTGACTTGGCTGTTTTTTTAAGCCATGTGGCCACCCTGGTGAGTCGTAAAGCACTCAACGTGCAATACGGTACGACGTCAACGTGTTAATGTGAGTAATAAATCGAATACCAGGAAATATTAGGACTGAAGCTCATAAAAAGCTCACATATAAATTCAATCAGCTCGAATTGCAGCAATTTACGCGTACACAAACCACCCAACTTTTTATCAGGAATCAATTCTCACCCTTTTGGATTCTTCTCCATCTCCCCTAGAAGTGTGTGGTCGCAATATTCGAACACCAGGTGCAGCTTACGTTTTCTTCTGAAAACTTCTATCATATTGACCAGGTTGGGATGTTTGAGACTCTGCCACGGAAATAAAACATTAATAAATCATATTTATCGCAGTCTTTCTGTTCAAAAGTTTTACTAAGTCTCTGTTAATTGCCCCAGTTCCCCGGCAGTTAAGTTTTAAAACAGCTGAAATTTTGAAATTTTGACTGCTGAACGAAAAGGACGTAGTGATGGGAAAGAGTTGCTTCTTGTTTGCTTTCCAATGTCTCCCATTACAAATTTTTTCGGTGTCGTGTTAAAAATTTTGGGATGATAGAAATGTTTTATTTATAATTGTATATTTATAAACAGAAAGGCATAATTCAAACGCTTATCGTAGAATTTTCTAAAGCATATAATTGCCTGTCTCACGCTAGCTTTCTAATTTGGACTTGTATTTTTCTCCAGTTTCACCATTTCAAGTAAATGAATTCATTTTATCAAATTTTCTCTCTGTAATGTTCGCTAGCGCATTTAATTTCAGATAAGCTCATTTGTCACTGGCTGACGATGCGTTCTCAGTCAGCGGCTGGTTGATCCGGGATGGAATTACACTTGTGTGGAACGTAGAAGCATATTCTGTTATTGTAACATAATTGTCTGGTGAAGTCTTCGTAGAATAATGACAATACTAATAATAAAAATGCGAAAACAATATTAGGCCTTCGGGTCGCCTGTCGGAAACCACCGCTGCCGTGCTTCGAAAGGACTATATCATGATCCCTTCCCTCAAGAACGTAGCCTACAACACTTCTTGACTATGAGACTGTGACATTATCAGCCGCAAGCCACCAGACAGATCACATCCATTGAATTAGACCAATCGCCTTCCATCTCATAAATCAAATTGACTTCTATATAAAAACTTAAATATCCTTGCTCACTTTCTTCCGTATAACACTAGCCTGTTCCATCCACACACTCTCAACATTTCTTCGAATGACATTTAATCAATTATATTGCCCCCCAAAAAATCCTAGTCATAAAATTTATCAGCTCGACTGATTTTGAAATTACCATTGAAATTACCCTGGTCATGAAAACACCCGAGATCTCACCTTGAGCATCTTTATTTCTCTAAGCGCGATCTTGCGGATAAGAGGATCGTCTTCTGACTCCATGAATTTCTTGATAGCCACGAGCTCGCCGGTATCCTTGACGCGGCACTTGTAGACCATCCCGTAGGATCCCTCGCCGATCTTGCTGATCTTCTCGTACTTCTCCATGGCGCGGGCTTCTACCCTGGGCCTCCTAAAATTAAAAAAAGTAATTAATTTTAAATTAAACATGCATAAGTGTGAATCAGAGTTTTCAAATGTTTGATTTAATTTGCGTTGACAATATAAATGGCAATCATTAGCTATTGCGGTGCTCCTGCATGGCCTGCATGGCGCTGCTACGTCCGGAACTCTTACTAAGGATATAGCTTAGAAAAGTATTTGACTTATTTACTAAAAACCAAGCATCACACAGCATAATTAACTTGGTTAGTGGTACACTGCTAAAGATAAAATGATACGGTCATTCGGTCGCCTCATTCAAGAATAATTCAAAGAGTAATGGTATTTAAAGGTGGAGTTCTCAAAGAGGAAAGGTATGAGCTGAAAACACTAGAAGTTTGACCATAATAAAATTTTAGTGACTCAATCTGCATCCAACACAAACTACAAAGAAACGTTAATTTTTAAAAGTGAAAAAATCCATCACCCTATTGCTTCTGAACACATTAGTGGTGCCATACATTTTGACATTGGAGGCTTAATAGGAAGATAAATTACAAATTTCAAATTCTATACTTCTGCATTAATTGTGAATAACCCAAAGGTTTATTCACAATTAATGCCGTCAAAATATTCCTTGACGTCACTTCGCACATCTGAAGCAGGAATGACGTGCAGCATCATAATCATCGTCCTCATGAATCTAAAGAATTATTTAAACCGGATAATTTAATATCAGAAAACGTGAATTAAAAACAAATTTCGAAACAAGTAGAATATTATGAAAGATCTCTGTGCTTTCCTTGAAAATTTTTCAAGAAAACTTTTAATTTTGAAATTGATTTAGTGAAATTATGGCGGATTTCATTAGCATGTGTTTTGTTTTACATTGAAAATTAATTCATGGCTCGCCCTCGTAGTAAAAGAGTGACAGAGCGTACGTGCAGCGATTCTCACTCATAAATATTTATGTTTTTTGCACGCCTGTTGAAATTATGATGCCGGCCATGCACGGGCTTATATGATAAATCGTCAGTAGCATAAGATTTTTTATTTACGGTTAGTTTTCCACCAATTAAATGTAGTGGTCAATAAAATATAGTGTTACAACCGAATATTGGCTTTTGATGATTAGTATCCGCGAGGGAAGGTTGCTAATACCTATTTAGTTTAGTTTCTTTTAGGCAGAGAAAGAGTTAATTGATGATATGCTGGGATTTCAATAGTTATGATTTGTAATCTAAATACTGAATATTTTTCACAATATAAAATATCCATTTGCTACTCACATTTATTTTAACGCAACAAGATTTTTAACACAGCCAAATATTCAGAGAGTCAATGCATTAGCATTTTTTTGTCATGTACAGAGTTTTGTGAAAAGAATGACATAGAATTCAACCGTATTAATCAACCAGGCGATCAATAACTAAAGGGATTTCAGATCTCCCACATCATCTGATCTCATGCGCCGACTGCATCGAGTTTAGTAAGAGGGTTCATGTCTTCGCATTTCAAATGTCATTTCTTTAACTTTCATGCTAAATATGAATACAATCGTGAATGTGCGAATACTGGTGTGTTTCAATTGAATCTGTCCGATATTCGATAGTAATATTAATTCATATGCATTCTAAAATCTTCAAACTGACGATAGAGCTTAACTCAGAAACGTATTCTATAAAGATATTATAATCTTTTGTGAATTTTCCTTGCTTCCAAATTTCCAGTTAATTGGCGATTCAAGCAAACAAGTGACCTCGATATTAATTCTTTAGAAGAAAAGAGAAAATATTTTATTATTGATTTTATTGTTCGTTATTTCAATACGAATAACATTTTTATAAATATCGTTCAACACGTTGAAATCTATCAAGAAACCGTGAATAAAATTCTTCCTGTGGTATTCAATCGAACTTGCATTTAAGGTCAATCGTAGGGCATATGCATGCGCACTAAGAATATTGGAGCGAAGGCGATAATCTGGACGAAGTTCAGTCTGGGTTTTCGTTTCAGCTGTTGAATAAAGGTAGCCGATCGTTACTCGCACGTGACGCACGCACCTGAAAATATCCGCGACGAAGGCAATATGTGGCAGTGACGATGTTGTGACGTGCCATGCCTGTCAATGGTCGCTGATGGTAAATTTCAGTGCTTGAAATAATTTAAATTTGAATGCTTGAAATAATTGAAATTTAAGTGCTATAAATAATTGAAATTTGAGTGCTTGAAGTAATGAAAATATGATTGTTTGAAATTGAATTGCTTGAAATTTGCATGCTTGAAATAATAGAAAAAAAATTGAGTGTTTGAAACTAGTGAAGTAAACATTGATTCGTAGGTGGTTCATAAAGCAATGCTCATCAATATAGCGCTGACGTCAAGAGCTACAAAAGAGGCAAGCAATAGGCTATGCACAGCTAGAATAGTAATTATTTCTCTTTTTTATAAACTTCTATCATAACGCTGTCGATGTACGTGAGATTTTCCATTTGAAGAGCTCCAGTATTTTGAAAAATCACTTCAATAAAAAGAAGCTTTCGAAATATATGGTACAATGCAGCCATAAAGCGAAACATCTCTCAAGACATCAGCAAAATTCAACCATAAAATCCTAATATCCCGTATGCATTTTACGCATTACTACTTTTCAAACATGTCCCACGGCTTACTTTTTAACTCTACTCAAGAACAGTGTTTTGGAATGTTTATACACGAGTATCCTAATGGTGTAATATACTACTTTTCAACCACTAGTCCTGCAGTGCTTAATTTACTCCAAAACTTTTATAGTAATCCCCTAATCCAGCGAGTGGAGATTCCAGCGCCCACCTGTTGCTGATACGGTCTTAGGGAAAGAATCTATACTAAATTCCCCTCCATTGTTGTCCAACTTGAAGCAATTTTGCACTGCACATCTTGTCATAATTTGGTAGCAACTCTTAAAGTGTCACTCTTAAATCAAAATCAATGTTGAACTGACGCCTGTGTTATGTTGTACAAGACTTCACTGGTGAGAAGCCAACAACGCAGAGATACGTTGGGGTGAGAAGCCGTAGATGTAAAACTCTGCCTAATGAGTGAAAAATCTCAGTTCACTCCAAGCCAGAATGCAATCAATGTATGACTAGCCTCAAATTGGAGTTAGATGTCAAACCTAAAAATTTGCGTGGCAAAAGTCGTCTTGCAAATTGAATCAAAGTCTGGATACTTTGACTGCAATGGCAAAAAACACATTATCATGCTTTTCAATTGCAATTAAAAATATGAGGTCAATCATTATTTTTGCCCCCGCATACCCCAAGGCGTTCAAGAATGGACGACTTCTGGCGCGAAAAACTCGTGAGTGAATCACCGCAAATGTTGAAGCGGTCTAGTAATGAATATTCTTTATTATTTAATCTATTGTTAACACATCTATTGTTATTCTATTGTTAAACAGCGGAATGGCAGCGCAAACCACTGCTAAAACCAGCGGAACTTACACCTTTGATATCAAAGCTAATTGCAAGCAAGCAGCTGCACGGGCAGCATTAAAGATCACATTCAAAGCTGATCAATGTGCGGTTATGTTCTGTATGCGTGTAATGAAAGAGAAATCAAAATCTTAGTGTTATTGTATCATACACATCGATTTGGTTTCTAATCTGATCTGTCGCACCTTGTTTTCAAAACCACAGTGCCCTCAAGTCTCGTTTGAACACGAGATGCCCAAGGCTGCACACACATGATTCATGACATGAATCGGATGAATGACTGCTTACTTGCTATTGAATTTGCGTTCTACACGTAGGCATCAGTAACCATGATAAGCTACGTGATTCTTCGAACCGCATCAACGTAATCTAATCCAAGGAAAGTAAATCCAACCAACACAAACATTGCTCTTCTCACTCCGTTCTGAGCCTGAGCTTCTACCACTGCTGTGTTTTGGTGTGCACCTGGCAGCAAACTACCCTACTTCTAGTCTAGGCAACCACCCTTTTTATCTGCTTCCGATGAAAACAAGGAAAGAGTTAAAGATGGCCTGAAAGAAAAAAATTATATCTCTCACTCTTCGTTTGTCTTGTAATCGCGCTCCACTAGCTTTGCGCCTCATAGCACTACACTACAACTACAGCACACTACAACTACTGCACTACAGCTCTTGCTTCGCATGCCAACACCATGACTCTAATCATAGCCATTTGGCAGATTCTTTTTTCTCGTTCCAGCAATGTTTATAGCAGCAGCCTGGCAACCAACTCATATTTAGTTTCGGCCTTTTTTGCCTCAATACAAACTAAGACAGTCGTCTCAATGTAAATATCTTATACAATTTTTTTAACTCTCTGAGTTAAAACACTCTCTTATATAATTTAACTCTCTTATACAATTTTTTAACTCTCATTTTTAACTCTCTATTTTTCTGAACTTAAAAAATATTCTGCACCAGTGAGGGGTAAGTCGTCTTACGACGCGTTTTTATCGCTCTTTGTTAGTATTGCAGAGCATCGGTAGGTACTGACTGTCACGAAGTGTCGCATATTAAGTTGTGCCAATTGTTCTTTGCTCAAAACACTGATGTGCGAGTAGCAATTTATTAATTAACGTTTTTTTGCTTAACTGCATATACATCTATAGAATCCCAATAGGTCCGCTAATTTGAAAAATCAATTGAAAAGTTTACATCGAGCTCCAAAATTCACTGCGGTCTTTTTCTCGATTTTCTGTGTGAGCGAATTTTTCTTCAAGTATAGTACCGCACGTTGAAGTCAATAGCCGGACTCTGCACTCCTCGTCAGAGATTCAGTCAAGTTGGCTCCACGTGCTCCCTGACATTTGGTTGGCTAGGATTTACTGGACCTTGAAGGTCGCACCGGCGTTGTAAGGCCCGAGTTGCTTAATTAAATTAAATCCGCTTTTCTTCAGGCCTTCAATGAAGGCAAGAACGCCGCATATTAGCAAACCGAAAAGTTTATGTGCGCGTAAATGCTTTATTCTTAATGGCCTTCGCATTGCACTAGTAGCCTACATGAGCAAAAATATATT